GGGGAGCTCGTTCCAAAGGGCCGGAGCCGCCACAGAGAAGGCCCTCCCCCGGGTAGTAGCCAGATGACATTGGCTACCCATTCCTGGAGCCTGTATATGAATCCCAGAATATTTGCATGGCAGTAGAAAATAAGTAAAGAGAACAAGTACAGTCTACATCACATACTACTCAATATACATGTTGATATGCAAAAGCCATGTTTAATGGCCCTGTCATATAACATCTTGCCTTATGTGATGTTAGTATCACTGTATCAAAAATGGGCAACTAAGGCCCTTGGCAATTTTATCTGGAATCTAGAGAATCCTAAAAATCCTCACCGTTGCTTCCCATTCATTATGTGATCAGCTACTGCTCTCTTATGGCTTTTCATGTTTTTCAAATGACTGAGAAATACTAGGTTATATCAGAGCCACACACACTGTTCAGTTCATGGATACTCACTGCTGAATTCCAGCAAGAATTTCATTCACTGTGCCCATTAATTTCTGCAGCCCCATAAAAGCTTCTTGAAATGAAGACATATTCGAAGTTTGGGGTATTGCATTAAGGTCTACTTTTTGGAAAATTTCAAAACTAAAAAAAAAAAGTAATGTTAAAAAATTAATTTCACATTAACATGGACTCATTTTCCCCCACTGCAATCCAATCACACCAAATTTGCCAAAAACTACTCTATACAGACATGAGATTTGTTCGTAACTGATGATCCCTAACCCAACACTATCACCTCTGTCTAAATCACAGCAGTCAAGAGACTCCCCTCCAAAGTATTAAGTGACAAGGCCTAAACGATATCACACACTTTAAGATTCCAGTCAAAACAAAGTGTCTAGGAGAAGGGAAATATTTCAATGATGGCATATTGCCAGGGCATGATTGTGCAGAGACTTACTCAGAAGGAAGCGGCTGCTTTCAAGATGGTTTCTAAAACTAGTTAATATTATCTGAGTGAATATGCAGACTATTGGTGGCAACACGATATGTAGAAATATTATTGATACAGTGCCATTCCTTTACCTGGCACTTTACTAAATTATAGAAAAAAATATTAGGCAGGTCCCACCCACAAAGAATTCACAGTTCATGCTCAGCAGTGGAGCATGTTTGCTAGAATACATGGCACACATGGACTTTTTAAATCCTGTAAGGAAAATTTTATATTAGATTTTATTTAAAAGGATACTGCTTTGTTTTAGTAAATATTGCTTTAGCAAATGGTACCTGAACACATTGATTCTGTTCCATACATTTTCAAGGACGGACCAAATTTCCTTATGTCTATTTTCTTGTGCTGAAGGCTCTGTTAATGGACACTTATCTCCTGTCTGAGTGTGTTCTGACAAAATCACATCTTCCATTTTTTCACATGTATCATTTCCCAAATTAGATTTCAAGGTATCTTTGGAATTTTCTCCTATACTTGACTCCATCTTAGGAAAACACAAGAAACAAGCAGTAAGAGTACTGCATATATGTAAATGTGCAGCTGTCAATTAAAAATATTTGAGGAATGCCACATAATCATCATGTTAATAACAAGAAGTTTTGTTTCCTTCTGCCTTCACAAAAAAGATATAACTCAGTTTTTCTTCACTGGTGATTTGAAATATTTATATATAGTTTCATAAATTATACATGGGCAGTTCACAATGCAATTTAAAATCTAAAATTAATAAAACTTAACAGAGAAAATGGCAATAGCAAATATTTTCAAATTCTAAAAATATAATAATTTTATAAAATCATAATAGGGATTTTCTAAGACTGAATATTTTCCAGCCGGGTCCTAGTTCACTATGCAAGCTTTTCTACCTGCTCTATTTCCAAGCTCATAAATAGAGCTCTCCTGGAGATATTTGAAAGTTTCTCCTGCAAATATTTCCAAACAAGGAACTCTTCACCATATATACCTTAGTAGTGATTTGGAGCAAAGATAATTTAGGTGCCTACTGCTTTCTAGCTGGTTGAGAGGGAGCCATTTTTTCTCATTGCAGGAGCAGACCCAAACCTATAAAAATATTTCTCTCTCTCTCCTCTCAGACAATGCAAGATATCCCTTTCTTCCTCTGCTCAACTCTTAAATTTAAAATACACATGTGGATGCAAGATACTTTCCATCATAACAACTCTAAATTTGGCTGCTTTTCTCCTTTTCCTTATTTTTTTGCAACCAGGACAGAGAAAAAGGCAAGAAGAGAAAGAAGGCACTAGAGCTGTGATGGTGAACCTATGGCACAGCTGGCATGCAGAGCCCTCTCTGTGGGCATGCAAGCCGTCACCCAGCTCAGCTCCACCGTCTGCACCTCCTGCCTTCCAGCTGGTTTTCGGGGCTTTTCCAGCGAGGGGGGGGTCACATATCCATGCGAGGGGGCGCATGCGAAAGGCTCATGCACACATGCATGGGGGGTTGTGGTGTACGGGGGGCACACATGCATGCACGGGGTGGGAGGAGCACGAGGCACACATGGGCATATACGCATACAGGGGGCACAGGCCCTCCTGCGCATGCAGTGCAATATGGGTACGCGTGTGCACACTTTCAGCACACAACGACAAAAAGGTTAGCTATCACTGCACTAGAGGATGAATAGAAGAAAAGCCAGTAGACTATCTTAGTGAAGAAAGGAAGAAGAAATGATTGATGGTGGTGGTGTGGTTGTGTGTAAGTGATACCTGACTTAGGAATGGAAGCAGGGAAAGAGAGTATATTAGAAGCATCTGGGTCTCTTCCCTCCCTCTCTTCATGCTGTTATTCCAATCTGTCTTCTGTTGGGAACCCAGAAGGAGTGAAGCAAGAGGGGTCAGAGCCTAAGGACTTCTATGCTTGGAGGTTCCTCCTGTATCTTCACACTTTGTACATCGCTGCTACTACAGAAGCCAATCCTTTTTATTCAGCAGTGAAATTTGGTTCTTGGTTTATCCACAGCAAATTCAACACTAATTTCCATTTAAAAGGAAACAATTCAGACGCAGCTAACTTTTTCCTTTGAATGATGATAAATGTGAATGCCATCAATCTTGTAACCAGATTTATGCCCTTAAAAGGAACTAGGGTTGTCAAAACGTAGCCTGGTTTACCTCTTCAACCGTCTTGAGTAATCTATTCACTTGAGCTAAAGCCCGTGAAAGAAAACCATCATAGGTGGATCTTGAACTGAACATTTCCAATAACATTTTTGACTCCCGGAGGACATTCCTCAATGTTGAATATCCAATTATTTTACCTGAGACAGGAAGTAGAAAAGAGTGCTGTTCAGATCCAAAATTCTTGTTGCTTTATTATTAAATCCCTATGAAATGGTATACTAAATTGATATGGTTATTCAAGTGTAAATTGACTTTTTGAAATATGAGATACACAATTATAAGGCTTGAAACTGGATTAATTTCTGTTACTCTGCCTTGAGTTATACAAAACTGTAGAGGAGAAGAAAGAGAAAGAAGAGGAGGAAGAAGAGGAAGAAGAAGAAAGAGTTTCACAGCATCATAGGCCTCATAGGCTAAAGGATGTCATCGTAACATAATAATATTGTAATAACAGCAGAAACAGAAGAGAAAGGGGCAAGATCAAAAATTGGTCAGTACCAGGCGCAAATGAACTGTATGGCTTTTGGTTGAAATATCTGATTGGCCTGCACACCCTCATTGCTAAGTATTTTAACAACATATTGTAAGAAGGTAAAATTGAAGACCGGTTAACATATGGCAAAATCGATCTGATAATGAAAAATCCAACCAAAGGGACGGTACCAGGCCTCTACAGGCCAATTCCTGCTTAACAACAACTTTTAAACTTCTAACTATTGTGGTAAATGATGCAGTCCAACAGCATCGAGTTGAAAACAAGCTCCTTCCATCTGAACAGAAAGGAAACCCCCTGAATAGCAGAGAGAGACACACAAGATCAACTCCCAACTGACAAGATGACTTTGGAAAATTGTAAGACAAGGACGACCAACTTGAATGTGGCCTGGACTGATTACAAGAAGGCATTCCGCTCCCTGAAACATGACTCAAGTGCCAAGAAATAACAGAAACCAGTAGAAACATCAGAAGCTCTGTGCAAGGATCAATAGCACAATAGAAGACAGAGTTGCTGGTCAATGATGACGGACTGGGGGAGGTTAGCTTCAAAAGAGGAATGTTTCAAGAAGACTTACTCTCACCTCAACTATTTGTCATTGCATTTATTCCACTGTCAACAATGCTCAACAGGCCAAACCGTGGCTATTGAACATCAAAAACATTTGCCAGGTTATCCCACCTCCTTTACATGGGTGATCTGAAGCTGTATGGAAAAACACTTATCTGGAATAGAATTGCAGTTCGGCACTGTCCATATATACAGCCAAGATGCTGCAGTGGAGTTTGGACTGGCAAACATGCCACCCCCGGGAAACATACCAGCAGGGGACAAAATGGTGAAAACTGAAGGAACCAAGATGGAAATAGTCTCAATGAAGATAAGTAGAAATTTTCTGGATCAGGAGTCTCTGCACTCAGTCATTCAAGCTCTGGTCATCTCACACGTGGACTACTACACTGGGGTGTTCTTGAAGAGCATTTGGAAACTTCAACTGGTGCAGAGTGCAGTGGTGCCCGCAGTCTAGGGCTTATATCCTGTGGAAGTATCTTTGATATTGTTAAATTATAACATCCATCTTCCTGGGAGGGATTCAATAGGTGCACAAAAATGCAAAATCCAGACTAGACATCTGGCAGACTGTGCAACCAACTATAATCAATAATAATAAAAATAAAGCAAGCTTTATATTTTTTTTACTACTGATGACTGTGCCCTTTTTATCTAAGTAATTTCACATATTAATATAAACACTCCTACCTTTACAAAGATGTACATAGAGATATTCAATAGTTGAAAAAAGGCTTCTTGATATAAATTGTCCAAAAACAGCCATCCAGTGTTTTTTGTAACACTCCAGCACATTTGCTAATGTCCAAGGGGGTTTATGATATACTACCTAAGAAAGAAAAATAATTTACTAGTCAGATTTCAGTATCTTTTTTAGAAACATGCCACCTACATCAGCTAGCATACTAGTAATTATATCAACTCCTCCCTATTTTGACAAACAGACAAGATATATAAAATAAATGATAGAATCTGATTTTGGAATGGGGTTAGTAATACCACCTAATACCGTCTCTTCTGATACTTTATTTTTTTCCTTAAAGACAAATTATGTCAGAGGGACTTCATTTCATCCTGAGAGTATTTTACAATAGCTTGTAACCCCTCATTGTATCACTATTGTGAAGCTATGAAGGGTTAACAAAATGTCAAGGTTTTATAAGACAAGATACAAGTATGTTCAGATAAGACTATTTGGATGCCATGTAATGCAAAAGGCAAAAATATGGAATTGAGGATAAAATTCATCTTCCTGAGATTTTCAGATTTTATTTAAACTATGAAGATGTCATTTACATAAAATACTGACCTAAATCAGCTGTCACAGATGGCTAAAAGAAGCTGGCAGAATTTTGCCAGTCATGGAGAATCAGGAAATCTGAAAGAGCATTTAAACAACAAGCAAATCCGGCATTAAGAATGCAAATTTGCATTCTTGTTAAGTGATTTGCTCATTTTGCTTACGTAATCAATGGGATTTAGGGGTTTTTGGCACCCTAATTTGATAAGTTTCAGATTATCTAAAATCCAAAATACACTAAGCATGAAGATAGATTTTTGAGGAAGGTTTCAAAGGTGTTACGTCTGCACAGTTGTTAGACCGTGGCATTTTAATTATTTTTAAACACATCTTTTTTCAAATGTGTATGACCTTTGCAGGCATTCCCATGTGAACAAATGTCGAGCACCTGACAATCAGCATGTATTTATGATAGTTGTACTGTCCCAGAATCATGTGAAACTCCAGACCTCCAGTGAGGCAATCTAGCATCATTTCTTGGTCTTTTGTTTTTCCTAATTCTTTGCAATAACCATGACCATTGCCAAGCAGATTTGCTCCCCTTGACAGAGTTTCAGATATTGTCTTGTTTTAGCTTTTTTTTTTTGTCCCCCACCCAGGAGGTGAGTTAAAAAAAAATTAATAACATCTGATAGGATGCTCTTTAATGTATGTACATCTGAAAATTATGCGCATGCATCCAAGTTGCATCACGATGGATGGCAGGGCTTGGGTCATGTCTCGGTGTCCTATGAAAAGGGGAATTTACTTTAGAGGAACAGAAAGAACAGGTCAGAAAGCAAACCATTAGCCTGACCATGCTCCTTATTCCTCTCCAGACTCACACCTAATTTAGGGAATTGTATACTGGCTGAAAACAAGGAATGACAGCTAGAACAAGAATGTGGTTAAAGATAATTTAGATCATTGTTCTCATTCTGCACCCGCCTTGAGAAGTGGATTTTGAATTAACAGCCCCAAGCTGTATAGCAACAATGGCTTATACGTGCAGAACATTCTGCTGCAAAATGGAAGCATTCTAAAGGAACTTTCAGAAGGAGCTCTTACTATACCAGAGGCCTTACATGGCAAATGTGCCCACAAGATTCATTTCAAAGTTTGATACTAAAAGATCGACTACAGGAGAACAGCATTTAAATATCAAATATACAATCTAAAAATATTAAACGATTTGCTGTATGCCAAAGAGTGAAAATAATGTTGTGAAATTGTCATCATAAAAAAAAATAAAAGGGGGGTGGGGGGAGAAGAGAAGGAACTTATTGGTCTTGTGCCTAGCACAAACAGTCCTATCAAATGATTCTTGCCTTTTCTGCTTATAGAAGGAGCAGGATGCCTACCTGCCCCAAAATGCAACAGGAATTCCTAATAATATATAATAGGCTATAACTAAAATTGGAGTCAGAATGTACATAAGTACGTAAGTATAGGTAAGAACCCCTGATGCATTACACATGACTTCCCTAATTGGAAGAACTATATTTCTTTTGAATATTGGAAAATATTCACCTCAATCCAAAGATCTCCAAAAGCAATCTTCAATTCAGTTTCTAAAATAGAAGATAAAACATCTCCCAAGCTTTTTTCCATATCAAAAATAATTTCTGAAAGATGATTAGAAGAACTCTTTTCAGTCTTCTTGGGGTATTTATCTGTTCGTGAGCAAAAGCAATTTTAATGTTTCAATTCCATTACAGTTCCAGTGCATTAGGTATAAACATTATGAGGCCATAAGCATTCTTTGTACCTGAGAATAGATCCATGTTGTGAAAGGAGGTGCAGGCTGGTGCCCTGCTCAGACTGTTTTGTAGGTCAACACAACTTTTTCCTTTGAAAACTGAAGCACTTCCTAATCCTGTTGGATAATACCCTGATAATCACAGTGCCCAAGGTCTTCCAAATTGAAATTAGAATTAGAATCCTTTATTGGCCAAGTGTGATTAGACATACTAGGAATTTATCTCTGTGCATAAGCTCTCAGTGAATATACAACAATAGTGATAGATCATTATCATAGAAATCTGCTATATTCAAATAATCTCTGATAATTTCCCTATTTGCATTTCAAAACTCTTCAGTAGTTCCTTAACTGAGGAACTATACTGACCTCAAAATATAAATTATTTCTCCAACTAATTCATTGCAACTAGTCTGATAAACTTTCAACGTTTTTCCCCTATACTTAACAACTACCATTTCTTTAGTCCCTAACAGTCATTTAGAATAGCGCTCCACAACCCTTCCAGCTTTGTGGACTGGCAGCGGAAGGGGAGGGTTAAAGGGATGGTTCCGCCATTCATCCGCCATTTCCGCAGCTTGATTCTGAATGGGCCATAGCCCGGGGTGGGGGAGTGGGGTTGGGGATCCTTAATTTAGAGGCACAAAAACATTAAATCAATTAACTCAATAATTTTCATCCAGCTGGAAGTAGATTTTAACATGGCATATACTTTAGGATAATGTTGGCATTTCATCAGTGATGATTAAAATGATTTTATGACTTTTGTTGAGCTGTTTTTTCAGTTTTAGATTGCAAAATCTTACATTTACCCGGAAATAAACCACACAGAATTCAGAAGCACTTTCAATTGTCTTGTAAGGCAGTAATGTCATGCAAATTTATAAAATAAAGAAAAACCAACCTTTTCCCCACTTGTTATTGGCAGTATCTTCACTAATAATTGTGCCCTTTGGAGTCATTTCCTGGAATGCAACAACCAAATCTGCTTTACTATATGCCTTTATTTCACTCACTAGGGCTTTGTTGCACAAATTTTTATCATCCCTATTAAATAAATACAAATAAACACACCTAGTTTTGCTTTCCTGGGAAAAGGAAGACAATTCAATGTATCCATAACACTGAGCGATATGATGAATATGATTTTGGGTTAGATGATTGAACATTAAATACATATACTCAATGAACTATGACTTAAAATATCTTATCTCTGTGTTACATGAGCTGGTGAATCCCTCAATACCTGTATGAAGCCATTTTAAAATAAACTTTCCACAAGCAATTGTGGAAGTTGAACTTGCAAAATTCTGTTTTCAAAGAGTTAGAATTCTGGAGGCTCTAATTGGAAAAAAAATGTCTCCCCCTTTACTTAGAATCCCCCTGAATTCCTACATAAGTGTATGTTTGGATTGTCTGAAACAGCAATATAGTACTTGCTCTTCGGTGAAATGAAAGACAACAGTTCTAAAACAAAGTATTATTTCTAACAACAATCTTCTAACTTCTTTGTCTGAGGAATAGTCATCTCCAATTAAAAAGTGTATATGATGACAATTTGCCATGATATGACACCAATCTACATACTGGTAGTCCTTGACTTACCACCATAATTACAGCCAGAATTTTCATTCCTAAGGCAATTGTTAAGCAAATAATTACAGTTAAATGACTCACATAGTTGATGTTGCTTGTCGGAAGCCAATGGAGAAGGCAACAACTGGCAATCACATGACTCTGGGATACTGTAAATGTCATAAATACATGCTGCTCTCCAAGCACCCAAATTTTGACTATGAGATCATGGAGATGTTACCATGGGTATAATAAGTGCGAGGAGCAATCATGGGTCACTTTTTCTTCAGTGCCATTATCTTTGAATCAGTGGTGGGTTCCGGCAGAGACTACTGCTGGTTTGCTCAGGGATGCGCTGTGCGTGTACGTGCTTGATGCACGCCATGCGTGCATGTGCAATACAACTAAAATTGCTCTGCACATAAACAAAAAACAAGATGTCAGCGCTTATGGCGCTACCAGGAGAACCAGTTCAGGGATGTGGCAGGCCTGGGTCGCTGCCAATTCCAACGACCCAGGCCACCAAGCTACTACCAGTTCAGCCGAACCGATCCAAACTGGTAGGAACCCACCACTGCTTTGAATGGTTGTTAAATGACTAGCTGTGAGTTGAGGACTACCTGTAGGTACCAAGGTGTTTTTAAAAGGGGATAGTGCTGAGAAAAGTCAGTAACTGCATTACTTTTTTTGAAAAATGTATTTAAAATGATTGTGCCCTTATTGCCCTGTCAATGAAATTTAGATCCTCCATTGGAAAGCTACACCAAAAACGTACGTCAGCAAGATTACTTCAGCTTGAGGATAGAGATTCTGATACTGAAGGCAGCATTGTAACACACGATCATCATTGTTCTCAGTACTGAAACTTTCTGAAAATTTAGAAACAAGAGATTATAGTGTCATGTTCTAAAAGAATTGGCTGATAAGCAAACAGCAATAGCACATCAAGAGGCAAGAAAAATATTTTATATTTATGGCATTCTTCATTTACAATTATACTGATTGAGCTCTGTCTTGCGAATAATGTAACATAATGTAACGTTACACAATGTAGTACAAGAGTGAAGCACCAATACTCAGAAGGAAACACTACTCAAAGGAGAACACAAGCTTGACCAGAATAGAGGTTACTTTCTCAATTAATTGCACCAATTATAGGTGTGATTATGATTATTATATTGTATTTGAAACATACAGCAGCTCATTTTGATGACTAAGTCATGATTCACAATAATAACAGACAAAATTAAAACCATTACACAAAACCCAGACAGCGTAACACTCTTATCCCAAATGCACATTCACTCAGCTCTCATCCTGGTTCAATGTCTAGGGAAAAGTCAGATCTTCAAGGCCTTCTGGAAGTTTAAGAAGATAGCAGCCTTCCAAATCTCAGGGGATAAGCCTCCTGATCACATGTTGATTATTTCAAAGACACATTGCTGTAAAGCAAGGGTGTCAAACTTGCGGCCCATGGGCTAGATGAGTCACACACTGGCCACGCCTACCCCCGGTTTAGCGAAGGGTTAAAAAAGGCACGATGGTCACACAACGTGATGTCGCGAGTTTGACACCCGTGCTGTAAAGCTTCAAATGGTACAAAAATGTAGCAACAACTCCATTGCATGGTACCATGATCCTATTATGCCTATACAGGTGCTGCTTCTTACCATGTTTAATTTCAGGTATTGGTTTAAAGCACTAAGCAACTTAGGGCCAAGTTATTGAAAAGACCGATATAACAGATGTTAAAAGCTGTACTACTTTCAACCTTCTCTTGATGTGACCGCATGTATTTACTGTAAAACTGATGCAGTTTCTATGTCTCTTTTTAAAAAAAACATTAAGATACATCTCTTCCACATAGTTTCTTTTATTATTTTGAATAACAATATTCTTGCTGTCTTATGTATTTTACCTATCTTTTAAATTATCTCTTTTTAAAATTTAATTCTCTTCTTTCAGCCACCATAAGCAGGTGGAGAAATCATAAAATGCTGCTACTGTTGCTTACAACAATGCTAACCTAATAAAAATGAATCGCTTCCCCTGAACCAATTTATACTTGTGATTTGTTTTATTTAGCACTTGGCCAAGAGCACTTTGTAATAAGCAGTAAACTCCAAGACACTTACTACTTGTGTTTCACTGTTTCTTAAGTCTTTGGCACCCACACACATTCTTAGGAGGAAATTATAATAGGTCTAGAAAGCTAATCCTTTGAGTCTTTCCTTGCACCTTCTGGTCGATAGGGAGAATTAGGCATTTTGTAGATCTATCCATACATCACAATTAGGAAGGTGGGTGGCCAAGGGATGGTCTTGGGAATTGCATCACTGACTTCATAGCAAGCAGCCAATATTTGGCATTATTTTAGACAAGAGAAAGAAAGAGGCATAAAAAAAATCATCCTCATATTTCCAATGGAATAATTTCTGTTGGAATGGGGTTTATTACCAAGTAGCGCACTTATTGAAGGTTTTAGAGATCTAAGAATAAGAATAAAATTGTGACCAGTTCTATAATAACTTACGTGTTTTTTGAGAAGCAAGTTGCATGGATTGACCCCACAACTTTGGATCTTGATTTTTCAGGCAAGTATAGATGAAGTGAACTGCAGGGATTGCTTTTTGGCTAACGTTTGCCAATATCTTCCCCCGTTTTAAGTTGTCCAATTCTTGCAGAACTACCCAGGGAATTAATAGCAAAAATCTGCCTATGCCTAATTAGGAGAAAAATAGCATTTTGTCAAAAATTATCAAAAGAAAAAAAATGCATTTGTGAAATCCATGTGGTTGCATCTCAATTTTCCTACGCAAAATATTCCCTTAATCCTCGTTTTCTATATTTATTATCTAATTTCCAAATCCCTGTCTTATCTGTTGATTCCCATAATTATAACTTCCAGAGAAATTTAAAAAAAAAAAACTGTTTCGCTTCAAAATATTTTTGTGTGTGTGTTTGGATTTATTTATGTTTTGACAGTTGCCAGATGCTTTATGTTTCCTTTAAAGTCTGGGAACAAAATGAAAACAAACTAATAGGTAATCATTATACTTAAAACAATCTTCCTCAGATACAAAGCCAAATAGATGAAAAAATTAGCATCATGAATATGAATATATAATTTAGAAAAAATTGGTGAGGCATCTGATATCATTCTCAATTTTGTCTACTGTGAAATTTCCTTTATTCAATTCAAAACTCAGGCCACTGTAAGATTTTGCTAAATTAGATTTTTAACTAGTTCAGTAATCTATTACTTCTATTTATTTTTACCAAAAATAAAAACTAACTTTCTTAACTGTTAAATAAATGCACTTACACTGATTATTTTCAATCCAGAAAGAATAATGTTATGACCAGAAATTACAAGTTTTCCACAACCCAGCGTCTTTCTTACAGTTCATTTAGTGACCGTTCAAAATTACGACGGCACTGAAAAAAGTGATTTATGATCATTTTTCAGAGTTACGACCTTTGCAATATCCCCATGATCATGTGATCAAAATTATGATGCTTGGCAACTGGTTCATATTTATCACCATTGCAGTGTGCCAGGGTTATGTGATCATTTTTTGAGGCTTTCTGACAAGCAAAGTCAAAGGGGTAGCCAGATTCACTTAACAAGTGGGTTAGTAAATTATCAACTGTGGCAAGGAAGGTCGTAAGATGAGGCAAAACTAACTTAACAAATGTCTCACTTAACAGAAATTTTGGGCTCAATTGTGATTATAAGTCAAAGACTACCTGTATTAGCATATAATTCCCATTGCTAAGATGACACTGATAATGATTAGGAGAGGATGAAAGTTTCTTGACTACAAGATCGCAGAGCGTTTACAGAATGAGCTTTGCAAAATTATTTGTGCAAGTCCTGATTTACTTTGCTTGGCATACAACAGGTAGAAATGTCTGTACGGGGACCTGCAAATTACCAGAGGAAGTTGTGATAAGCAGCTACACAAGCCTTCCAAATGACATGCCTGTTTTCAATGTTTTGAAGAGGGCTGATCCTAACAAGCTTTATGAAACTTGTTTTAAATGACTGCACAATTGTTTGTTGAATCATAATACACAATAGATATTCTCCAAGCATGTGAGGCACTTAGTAAGCAAGCTGTTATGAAAGTAAGGCAATAAAAAAAGCTAGCTCTTTTTGTTTGAAATCAAACTGATCCACCGTCTTTTAACTTTGAGCGATGTCTGCTACTTCAGTACATTTTGTACCATGAGTGGTCAATAAGGAACATAATAAAATTCACAGCTGCTTACATCGTATCATGTTATATTGCTTTATTAAAGGTAATTTAAAAGAGAAAAAAAAGTCTAAAGTTGTTCATGAAATGAAACTGTCTGCCATTAATATTTGGGGCTGAAGTTTAGTTTTCAGATTGAAAAAAAGATGTGGCAGGTAATAGTGAAGCAACATATTTCAGGTAAGATGTACTTGATCAAGGCTTGTTACCGAGATAAATCCACACATACCTGGGATATTTGCATTCTTCAAAGATTTGATGAATGTCAAATGGCTGATCATTATATTAGTATCAATCACAATCAAAGTATTCAACCCAGAGAAAATATCTATTAGAAAAGAAGAAGAAAAATATAATTCAATAAGCGGCTTTATCTTTCATTTATTTTCTTCTTCCCATTGCCCCGTTAACGGAGAAGCAGCAGAAAACACCTGACACAGGTAAGCTTACTAGAGGATATATGTGATTCATCGTCTGCAAGATCTATTTCCATGCAAGTTAACTCTCCACACGCCTGCACGACAGGCAGTTCCATCTTCTTCTCAATACGAGCTGCATGCAAGTCTTCTACAATCTGCATCTACAAAAATAATTGTAAAATCATGAGTTGAAATCTTAAGCAGGAGATAAGGAAGCACTCCTAGTTCTTGCTGTTTTCCTTCTCTCTATAACTGTCTATCCACTGCTCCAAGTGTTTGGGTGGGTAGGAGAGAGGGAAGATACTACTCCTTGTCTTACTCTTTCCATCTAGGTTGCAGATGAATATGATACAGAAGGGAAAACAAATGTATAATACTAATGACAATGAGTAAAAATTGTTCTCATTGAAAAGATTTTTTCTAAAAGGTCTAACAAACCTGCATGAAACCTGTCTATATATCTTGATTCATTGAGGTAAGCATACTTTCTTTTCCCTAATTTTCATTTCCCTATCCACAAATTCTAATTTGCACACATTTAAGAAGGGAATTAGCCAGTTCAAATCCTGATTCTGTTTGACTGGAATCAAACTATTACAATTTCTCTTAACTCTGCATTATTTATATTGTTTAAATAAACATGGTGACAAGAACTCCTACAGGTTTCACTATCAAGTTCAAAATGTTATGTTGGGACTTTTTGTCCATTTTCTATCTAGCTTCTGATAGAAGTATGAACAAGTATGTTCATTCTTCATTAGTTTTAGATACTGTACCTTGACCAATGAATATGTTCAGTCCCCATTAGGCTACAGCACTTTTGGATTCCTCCCAGTTATCCATTTCATCCTCCCACTCCACCCCGAGGTACATATATTTCTGTGAACTTCTGCAATGATCTCATGAGAGGTATAGATTTTCATGCATTTCGTCTGGAAATTTTAATTTGCTTCTGCTATCGCTGCTTTTATTGTTTACATGCTTTATATTTTTATACACTGTTTCCATTTTAAAGCTTTAATTGTGATTATAAAGTAGATGCAATCACTCTGGGTTTAGGTAATAAAAATCCAGTCTCTAAGTATGTGTTATTGGCATATGTATATTAGAATGGATGAGATCAAACAGAATCAATATGATTAAAAACAAAAAAAGAAAAGAAAAAACAACAATATAAACTTTGGCTAGTATGAACTAAAAACAGCATTTAGGGAATGCTGATAAAACAATCTCTAACCTCTTGGTCCACATCTGTATTTTCGATGTTTTCAAGGGAAGAACATGAGGATTTGGAACCCTGTAACAAAGATATATATATATGTCCATAGCTGTTAATTTTACAGTTAGAATTTTACTTGGAATCTGAAACAATTTTGAAAGGAAGAAAAATAATGCCAGAGAAACTAGGTAAACTTTATTACACTTTTAGAAAATGTTTTTTGGTTTTTCCTTTCATGTTTTAAATTATTGAAGTATTATTAATTTCTTCTCATATTTAGCCCACACTAGTATGCTTGCATTTCTCCTTCAAAATTTGTCTTTATCCATCACATCTAAGCAGCCCTAGGCCTAACTTAATCTGCTTTCCAATATTTACTACAGTATACATCCTCTGCTCAATGAGTCTTTGTTATATTTGGTCAATCTGAATTTCAGTAGTGTTTGGAAGTTAGGATCTTCCTCATTGGTTTATGAAGGGAAAGAATGAACCCCTTTCATTGATACACTGTCTAAGCAAAAACTCCTTGACTATTTAAGGAGCCATTCCCTATATTCTTACATTATCAGCCCAAGAAAATTATTTAAAAACCCATAAGAGATCTCAACTAAAGCAAAACTACCACTTCATATCTCATGATATATATATATTTTACTTTACCCAACTTGAATGAAACGTGACTGGTTCAAATTTATTTCCTTGAATCCTTGAATTACAAATATCCGTCTCTGAATCAGTAGGTGTTGGTTCTTCATTTTTATACTTCCAACATTTGGGCAGCTTTGACAGGTGATATGAGAGTGTGCATTTGACTTCTTTACCATTTTTGCTGGAAAGTTCTAAAGAAAGACGCTTCTCCTTTTCAAGAGTATCTTTTTTGGAAGCCTGCATATGCACTTTAGAATCTGTGACAGTAAAAGGTAAATCTGGAACGTGCTGGGTTTTGGTACAGTTAATTTTCGGGGTGAATTCATTCAATCTTAGTGTTTTTTTCTTATGAAGGAATGAACTTTCTGCTGGTTTCGTGGTTTCCTTGAATTCCTCCATTATACGCTTTAGAATTACTTTTTTAAACTTGGTGCTCTCCATTTTATCTTTTTTTTTATCCTTCTCTTTGATGTTTATGATCCCCAAATCGTGTGACAGCTTCCTCCTTTTTTTGTCATCAGGATCACTGCCACTCATGCCAGACTGTTCTTTACGAGAGAAGACAACTATAGGCTCCATAATGCTTCTTTTCTCACCAAGATTAGCCGTGGCTTTAAATTGCATGGTGATCTTTTCACGCTCTTCAAGAGGTATTAAAGCACTATTAACGGGTTGAGAGTCTTTTGATATCTTTGCTTCGAGTCCTGTACTAGAATTTTTGAGATCGAAACTCATTTTTGCTTTCACATATCCAGCACCACTCACTCTGTGAAAACATTAAAAATCACTTTAAAGAAAGTTAAGACTGTGGAAGGTAAACTGTGGATTTTTAAAATTATAACCCAATCTTTTATTTAACAGGAAATGTTAAGAGAAAAACCTGAACTTATCAATATATTAAAGATAGAAATAGAAAATATGACAGTTACCTTGTTATAAAATTATTAGTCCCCTCAAAATGAAATACTTAATCTAATTCTAAAAATTAATTCTAAATTAGAAGCATCCTCCAGTTATTTTAAACTATAATCCCATATGACAGTTTGATCTTATAAGAACTAAAATTGAAAACTGCCAAAGAATATCATGTTGCTACATTAGGAATAAGAATTCTCATTTGTAACTTACAAATGACATAAGTATTATCATCTAGCTGAGGATATGCAATGGATGCCTATTTCTATTAGCCATGGCATCTAGAAAGAGCATTCCATAGGTTATTTTCTTTGCTCATGGCAACACAGTAACACATCTCAAATATAATAAGGTTACAAATAAAACAAAAAATAGTAGGAAATTTTCTCTAATAATGGAACAATAGTACAAGTAGTTAGACAAAGTAATAAAAGAAAGAGTTATAAAATTGGTGCATTGGGGATTATTACAAGAGTATCATTTTCTCCATAATTTAATTGATTAAAAGTGAGGCAACTAATATGATTCAATCAAAGATTCCAAATTAATCAACAGATTTCAAACAGTGTTTGCACTGCAGCCCATTTAGATTTTTCAACCTCCAAAATATCAAGTTTCATTCCTCCTATCGAAGAAAAATATTACCTTTGGTCCAGCTGTTCTTTTGCATGTCTGTTCCCAATTTCTGCTGATTCTGGTTTCTGAAAGAATAAGAAATATTTATTTATAAACATGTGTGTTTTCATATATAAAATAAATAATATTTCACAATAGGGAGAGCAAAATTGTATGGAATTTCACTATATTGTATGCATCATTCTTTTCTCAAAGTCGGGTACAGGATACGATATCTGAGTTAGATTATTATTGCTTTTATAATCTTCTCTTTCACTTTGTTTTTACTGTACCATATTAACAGTAATATCCATTAATCTCCATGGGCCTGCACATACCATTTCATAAAATTTCCATTAAGATTCAACAATGACGTCTTGATCATTGTTAATTATATTATTCTAGATATGTTTTGGTAACTATTTCTTGGCACAATCTGCGTTTGTGATATCAATTCCTGCGGACGTTCAGTGTATGGTAGGAAAAAAGTACTATTTTGTAGCCTAAACACTGAGCAAGAGTCTTCTAATCTTGCTGTCCTTGAGTTTCTGCAAAAGCTTAACTAGTATGTCTCACTGTTGCAATTTAACATTAAAACCCTAAGTTTCCCTAAGTTTGATACTCGAGTGTTAGATCAAATGTTTCCTGGTGTTCCTATAGTAGGCATAAACATACTGCTTCAAGCAGGTAGTCTTTTTTGTTTTGTCAAGTGCCAGGGAAGTCATCAGATTCCCAGGTATTTGGCGTTTTGTTTT